ACTCAAATAAAATCTTTGCACTCTTGGCAACATCTTTTGCTAATTCTTTGGTGGTCAGTTTCAATGGTGAACTTTAGATTTAAGAAATTGGCCTGTGAGGATTTAGTATTCTGATGTGGCTGCTAATGCTGCTTTTTTGTTTCAATGACCTAAAACAAAGCAAAAATGTACAGTAAAAGACCTGGATAATAATATACTGATCTATGTTTACCATCTTTGAGTTCGAAACAGTTTGCATCTCCAGTTCCCTCTTTCTAATGAGTCTTTTATGGTCTGGTAAGACTCTGGCAATTTTACCTCGCTTTTTATTAGTTCTGCGTTATATAACTATAAATATGTCAGGTGAAATGAGCATCTCAGTTGTACTTGCAAAATAAATTTGTTTACTTTTCTAAACATTAACTTGATCTTGTCTACATAATAGCTTCATTTTGTGTGCGCCAAATTGGGTAAGAACTTTCCTATTCATTCACCATCCCCATAAATTACTGAAGCTGTGTGACACTTCAAGATGGACGATAAGCTTTTGATTACTTTAGGTTATCTTAAAGGTCAGCCCTGATGCCTGAATGATGTGTTCTAGAGATTTGATGGTTAATGGTAAGAACTGGCACTTTGTTAGTGAGGGTTAGTCCTGTTCCCTGCAAGCATTGTAACACTGCTCTCAATCTGCCAGCCTGCTCTGTTGCAGTGGAACCATGCGTTAAGATGCCATCCTAAAGCCAGATAACCCCTTCTAAAATACTCCTCATTCGCTCTGGGGAAAAAGTCCGAGATGTAATTAATACCAAAACTTTGTTGATTAAGTAATGTCTCCAACACGACGTGGGGAGTATTGTCAGTAGTTTGCATTGTTTGTCTGGAGATAGTAGCCAAAAGTCACTGTTCCCTTCTACTTTGCTTAAAAAGTGTGCGTTTTGTCCACTTTGAACCAATGGCACCTGTGGTTAGGAGACGAGCAATATCCCTTAATTTCATGGTGAGAGGTCAATACAGATTCGCAGGGACCTGGTTGATTTTCAATGCTGGAACCATCCCAAAACACCAGCTGATATATGCAGTTGAAATTCTTCCAAAGACACAGGAGCAGAAGTAGTTCATTCAGCCCATCAGGTCTGCTCTGCAATTCAGTGAGATCTCCCTGATGCAGCATTGATCCAATTTCTCACTTTCACTTCTGTAGAAGTGGACACTGGAACTTTTCATTGATGCCAAGCCAGTGTGCTTGTGCATCCAATGTGACGTGAGCAATTTTCCGCTTCCCAAGACCATTTTAATTTTGGAAATTCTGACCTCCATTCTTTGTTTGCCTTGGCTTTCCCCATCTACTTTTTCAGACAAGTTGCAGATCTGTAGTGAACTGGCTTTGGATTACACACACAAGATTTCTGTGATTCCTGTTCCTCATTGTACCAAAATGTGTAGCAGCCAAGTGTCCCTTGATTTTTGAGTTGAATCCTGGTTCATGGAGGGTTATATTTGGCTGACTGGAAGAAATCCTACTTTAGCCACTGTCTTTTCCAGAAAGAAATAAAATTCCTGTTTCAATGTCTAATTGGAAGCTTGGTGCTTTGTCTGCTGACCATAATTTCAGCATTCCAGTAGTTTCCATTAGATCCCGAAATTTATTCCAGGTTTCCTCTGGGTGCTCCGGTTTCACAGTCCAAAAACGTGCAGGCTAGGTGGATTGGCCATGCTAAATTGCCCATAGTGTTCAGGGATGTTTAGGTTAGGTGGGTTAGACATGGGGAATACAGGAGTAGGGGAATGGGTCTGGGTGGGATGCTCTTCAGAGGGGCACTGTGGACTTTGTTGGGCCAAATGGCCTGTTTCCATACTGCAAGGATTCTATGAATGTATGAACAGCATTTCGTAGGCACAATGGTTTGAAAGTTACTTGCTTTAGTAGGATTTTCTTTTGGTTTCTGAGTTAGGAGCTTTTTGTTGAAGCATACAGCTTGAAAATGTCCTTTCCTCCTCCATAAGACTGACCATTCTATAATAATTTTGGAAGGACTTTCTGATGCTGATTTTCTTTCTTTCCCTCTGCCACAGAGAGAGCACCATATGACTACTGTACCCTTTTTTTCCAGATTTTTCAACGTTTGTGCATTTCCACTGCAGTGCCCCACAATACATTTTTTTTTTGCCATCTTGTGTAAAATGCAGGATTTCACACTCGCTACTACCTGCTTTTGTTAACTGCACAGCCTTTTGATAGTTGTGATATTGTAGCAATTCTGATTTTAAAGTCTACTTGAAGGCTCCTATAACAAAGTGATCCTGATTATCTTTCAATCTTTTGTCACAGTAGTATGTTTCTGAGTCAGGGTGTTGAATGTCTTGGAGGGGAAGTTGAAGGCGATGGTGTTCCCATGCATCTGCTGCCCTTGTTCCTTCTAGATTGTAATTGTTGTGGGTTTGGAAGGTGCTTTCTGAGGAAACCTATATAAAATTCTTGAACACTTTTTTTTTTCCCTAACAACAGTACTGTGAGTGTTCTTGTAGCACACGAATTCTAGTGGTTCAAGAAGTTGGCTCACTACCATCTTCTCAAGGGCCATAATGTTGTTGTTGTGTTTTTTTTTTAGCTAGTCACACCCACATTGCTTGAAAAAAATTTAAGATTTAAAAAATGAATTTCTGCATCGGTTCCCAGGTCCTGCACATCTGTTCTGACCTGGATCTCTTTCACCTGCTCCAGCTGCTCCTTACCCAAGCTCCTCCTGCCCCAGATGGTACAAGGTTAAGGCACAGAAGGTATGGAGAATATTGTAGGATCTTCATGCTTGGGACAGGAAGCATCCCTCCGATGACGTTCTTCCGAAGCATCATTATGTTTTGGTGCACACTATAGCCCCTCGTGGACTCTGCCTGTCCATAGATCGGAGCATAACCATGTGGCAATGTCACTTGTTGCCCTAAAGTACTGATGTCTGGAAGGATGCCACCACCTGCACAATTTATGCAGAACAGTTCAATGTTCAGCTTCATTCCTTTTCTGTTCGGAGCATGCTTCCTGGTTGCAGTTTCTGTGTGCAATTTTGATTCTTTATGTTTCAGGTTTTTCTTTTGTGTTTTTTAGCATTTAAATAAAGTGGATGTCTTTGGAATGGTACGGCAAACTGATGGCACAGCCCTGCATTTAAGGAGTCATGAAATGGATAATCTGCAATTATCTAATGATGAAATCCACTTTGCAGGGTAAGGAAATGGCTGCATGATAACTGATTAACCAAATTTTTTCTAGATGCATAACTGTCATAAGCAATCGGGATTTTTTTTTTCACAAATACACTTACCTACTCCAGGTTAGTTTAGTTAAATATGTCCCTCTTTGTGTGATGACATATTTGCACTCTTTTGAGTGGCCCCTTCTGCTCACTATATTCTTCTGGTGCCCATCCAACTTTGGGAGGGAAGTAGAAACAGTTAGCATTTCTCACTTTTATATTTTATTTATCTGAAGTAATTTAACTCTTTTTTTAGGAATGAAAGTATTTTAGATCCTAACGTATAAATAGTTAGTTTTGAGAAAGCTAACCGCAGCTTTTTGTAATGGTGTAATGGGAAAATCCAATTTGCTTAACTGCTTCACTTTAAAGTTGTACCTTTCAAAATGCAACCTCAATGTTAAGCAATAGAATTACTGTAATTAACTCCAACGCGCTGTAGATGAGATGAAAACAGCATTTTACAAAATGCTGTTAAATGCTAAGGCAACAAAGTTAGTGCAGTAAAAAGAGTTTTTAGCTTGGAAAGGCTAAGCAGACCTTTCTAATGCATGACTA